AACTGATACAAATCATGTGCTTCACTGATGATATAAGATACCAAATATCACTAGTACATTTTAATGAGAATTGCACGGCATCAATTTGCTCAGACTTCAGACTTGATCATCCCTTTAAGGGTGACAGACACTCCTTAAAAGTTATAATTGGGGTAGTTTCTTGCCAATAAGCCAAGAGGCTGTTCTGTGTAGGATCAGGCGCACAGTCTCTGGAGTCAGAATTCCTGGATTCAAACCTTGCTCTGCCAGTATTCAACTTCATGGGTTATGAGTAAATCACTGAACCTCTCTGGGCCTCGGCCTCTGCTTCTCTGTCACGGGGCTAAGAACCCTACAAATATAAAATGCTTAGATCTGTGCCGACAATTGTGGAGCTATTTGCTGTTTTTATTAACAGCGATGTACATATTTTTCCAATCAAATCCTATTTTTTCCTTTCATTGTATACTAACTAAATTTAGCTATGAGTTTTCGATGTCTAAAATAAAAGCCATTTTTTCTTTTATTTTTCCTGATATAGGAGCTAAGAACCACTACTTTCATTTCACAGAAGGTGGTCATGAAGACGGGTTGTTGAGTGCTTGTATTTACATGTGTGTCAAGGGTGTGTGTACATGTAATGCTTTCATCAAGCCGAGCATACAGACTTGGCAATAGGACAGTAGTACATGTAGATCATGACTTTCAAAGTTCATTTTTGCCTTTTAATTCTCCTAATCATAGTTCTAGAGTCATGATGTGTATCTATAAACCATGTGGTTATTTTCCACTGTGACTTCTAGGATCAGCTTCCCTTGCTTTTCTCAGGCCATAAGCAGAGAGGTGAATCGGAAGTAGAGCAATAGGGACCTGAACTGGTGCCTGTGGGGCACGCCAGCATGGCAGACAGTAGCGTTAGCTGTTATAATGCCAACCTCTCAAAATAACTTCTTAAAGACTGTCAGAGCTGTGAATAGATGGCCAATCACCAAAATAGACAGACCCTTAAAAGAAAGGGACAGAGGTAGTTATATTACCTACCTGTAATACCTCTTTTATAAAAATGTGAAAAACCTTTACAGGACATATATTCTCTGCACTTAAAAAAAATCATAATCTCTATAGATTACCACTGATGTCAGATAACAAGCATCAGAATGGAAGTACTATGTTAAAAACAAACAAAAAACTGGCAGTGAACATTTAGATTACAGCTGAAGAAGCATACAACTTACATCAGAGTGTCATGCTTCCAATTCTGGGCTGTTATATGTACACTGGGAAGACAAGGAAGGCTCAAGGACTTGGGTCCCTGCCACCCATATGGGAGACCTATATAAGGTTCCCAGCTCTCAGCTTGGCTCAGCTTCAACCAATGTGGCCGTTTGGGGAAAGGATTGGTGGTTTGGGCACTCACTCCCTTGTTTGCTCTCTCTCTCTGGTTTTCTCGCAAACAAGTGATCGAGAGATACCAACAGCAGCGATGCCTTGAATGAACAGCAAAGGAAAAGCAAGGAGGATGCAGGATGAGAAGACCAAGAGCCAGGCACAAGAAGAATGTGCTGTTATGGTCCCATGGGTGAAGGGTCAGCCAGCAGGCAGACATCCACGCAGAAGACTTCTGAAACATGAGCAACGGTCTCAGCCCTCAGGTGCATGGCTGAACAGACCCCACCCTTCAAGCCTGATCCAGAAAGTGGTCTGAACTCAGTTTACAAATGACATTCCACCCTCTGCTTGGTTTCCACATTGGAGAGAGAAGGGTGGACTAAAAATATTAAAAAATGAAACGTACAGGATCTTGATGCAAATAAGTATCAAATCTGAACTGGAAGATTTGGAATGAAAAGACACTTTTTTTAAAGCATAGAAATCTTTGTTCTCAGGTTATGAATGCTTGAGATTCATAAACAGTGCAGATGTAAAAAGTTTGTCAGTGTGCTCGCTAGGAGTTAAAACAGAAATGAGATTCATTAGAAATGAGCGAGCTGACCACTTGCTTTTTCATTTAACTTAGGTGCTGTCTGTTCCTTCATCAAACCTCACTACGCCCCACCATAGAGGAAAGATGATTAAATGTCAGCCCTGATTCAAATAACTAATAGACAGCAGAAACAAAATGTATTTATATGCTTTCCAGAAAGATAAATATGGGCTGGTGCTAGCCTACCAACTGTGTCTGTATGAACTTTCTATCCTATACATAAATCACACACAGGCATACGGCATATTTTAAAGACTGCTGATATTACAGTGATTTTAAATTACTCCAGTTCCGATATAAAATCTGTAGATGTTAACTAACGTGTCAATTTACTCTGGATCTCAGCATATGAATGTTATAAAGTGTAACGGTATTAACAAAAATGAGACCTTAAGAATTAAGAAAGAATGCAAACAATTTCAAAATCAAGGGGTATGCTTCCAAATCAGTAGTTGGCTAATTTGAGCAAATGCATCACACTAGGATACTAGGAAGTGCTGTTAATCAGTAGGTTGTGCTTTATTTCCCTTTTTTTTTTTTACTCCCTTAAAAGTGAATCTAATAGAGGTGAAATTTTCTGCATGTCATGTGGATAATAAATGAAGGGGTAAAGAGATTACACCAAAGGGCAAGGTAGTTTGTGACCACCAGAGGAGCAGCATCTGACCCAGCAACATGCTCCATACACCAAGAATGGTCCAACTGGTCGTAGGTTGTTAGCCACAGAAATCAACAGTTAGGCAAAATTCAGTGTTCTTCGGGGGAAGTAGAGTGGAGCACTGGATTAGAGGCTGAGAAATAAGGATGAACTTCTCAGTCCTGCCGTGAACTGGCCCTTTGCTGCCTCAGGGAAAGGGTAAAAATGGAAGAGGTGCAAGCAGCTCTGGAAGTGCTTTGCTGACCAGCGATGCACCTAACAGAGCCGGGCATCACCATCAACACCACAGTTGCCACCATCACCATTTTCAGGGTCAGGTCATTTCCCACTGTGCTTTGGTCACTGCACAAGGGCCAATCATCTATCAAGAGATCTATGTGTAAGAAGAGACTTCAAAACTGTATGGGTACAATCCACATTTCTCAAAGTAAAATCCTAACAGTGGCTTCTCCAGGCACCCAGGAAGGGTTGATTGAGCATTTTGATTCACACCGATGGTTGCTCTCAATTTGGAACTTCCTTCTAGCAACTCCAATCACCTTGATGGTAGAACATGGTGCTGCTCAAGAACGGGAGACTGTGGCTGCTGTGACGTGAATGAACTCCTCTGCTGCAATGGAGCTAAGAAACAGTAAAAATCAAGATCCCAGTCTCTCTGCAGAGGATTTGAATGTGTTATGCACAAACAAATCATGCTGGAAGGATTGGGGGGAAAGAATAGGCACAGGGTTACCACATGTAGTCATCAGTCACAATGAGTCATAGGTGTATGCCCCACAAGTCAGGCATGTCAGTACTGTGGAAAAAGGGTCAAGTCCTAGGGGTTCTATAGGGCAGGGGATAGTGCTGATAGGTATGGATTAATACAGCAGTCTATGGGACCAGCATGGTGGCTTAGCATGCTAATCCATCTACCGTGCTGGCATCCTGTCCGGCTTGGGAAAGCAGAGGAAGATGACTCAGGTTCTTGGAACCCTGTACTCATATGGGAGACCTGGAAGAAGCTCCTGTCTCCTACCTTTCATCCAGCTCAGCTCTGGCCATTGCAGGCATTTGGGGAGTGAATTAGCGGATAGAAAATCTTTCTCTCTGTCTATCCTTTCTCTGTAAATCTGCATCTCAAATAAAGGTGAATAAATCTAAAAAAAATTACAGTAGTCTAATGTCTCAAGATTAAGAATACTGAAGTTCTCTGAGATTCTAACCACTCCTTTAGGATGTACAGTGAGCTATGCTTTTTTATTTTAAGATTTATTTTTATTGGAAAGTCAGATAGGAGGAGAGACAGAGAGGAAGATCTTCTAGCTGTTGTTTCACTCCCCAACTGACCGCAACAGCTGGAGCTGAGCCAATCTGAGGCCAGGAGCCAGGAGCCTCCTCTGGATCTCCCACATGGGTGCAGGGTCCCAAGGTCCTGGGCCATCCTCAGCTGCCTTCCCAGGCTACAGCAGGAAGCTGGATGGGAAGCAGGGCTGCTGGGACATGAACCAGTGCCCACATGGGACCCCGGCACATGCAAGGCAAGGACGTTAGCCACTAGGCTACCATGCTGGGCTTTCTATGCTTTCTAATATGACTGCTGGAGCTGCTGTTCTTGAGAGCATGAATAATCACAATACATTTCATTATGTATCCATTCATAAATACCAAAACAGAATCAGGTGTGGTGTTAAATGTTGGGGATAACCTGGCAAGATATGCAGACATGGCAATGTGGAACTGATATTCTAATGAAAGAAAAAGATTGGTAAACAAATATACAAGATAACACCTTGTGATAATGATGTTGTGATAAAGGACATCACAATGGGAAGATAAGGAACAAGTGACCTGGAAGTATCAAAGGCATATTTTAGATACAGCAACCATGGAGGCCTCTCAGAGGAGGCCACCTGAATGAGATGGAGCCAAACAGAGAATTCTAGGCTGGCATAACAGGAAGTGCAAAGCTCTGAGGCAGCAAAGGACTTGAAGCACTAAAAGAACTTCAGAGAAGGCACTGTGGCTAATGGAAAGAGAATGTGGCTGGGAGCATGGACAAGAGTCACATTTGGCAGATTGTGTAGGACAGGTACAAGAGATTCAAGGAATAAACATTTTAAACCTTACAATTTTAATAGGACTGAGTATGCCTTATATTTGTAAGCACAGTTCTAACGGTACATGAACCCCAGAATGTATAAATGGTAAAGCTTAGTGCGCATGCCTAAAACATATTCATTTCGGTTTGGAGAAATTCAAAAGGCATTGTGAATACATTTCCAAAAACAGAAATAAAAACTTTCGTAAAGGAATAAAGATTCGACTCCAAAGCCACCTTAAGACCAGAGCATAAGACATGGATTCAACACTTTTTAAAACTATCACCCAGGAACTTACCTCCTCGTTGCACCAACAGCGTGACCTCACTTCCCTTCGGACACTCGATCAGCATGTCCACCACTTGATTGTGACTTAGAGCCTGCACGTTCTTCTTATTAACCTCCACAATAAGATCCCCTTCCTTCAGGCCACGGCACCTGGGACTGTCAACAATCTGTTTCACTCGTTGGCCACCACCACCAGGACTGTCTGCGATGGTGAAACCAAAGCCCATTGGCCCTTTGATGATATGAACAGTGATGAGTTCTGGCTGAGTGGCTATGGAGGAGGCCAATGAGACAGTGTCATTGGGGTAACCTTGAGAACTGTTTGAAGTCACATCAGCAGGGCTGCTTGGCCGGGCATCCTTCATGTCGTTGACCTTGCCAGTTTTACTACTGTGACTAGCTGGCGAATCATAGGTCTCCTGCCCATTCACAATAATGGGTTCTTTATCCAAAATGGCCACTGAAGTCACTAAACTTGTATTGGGGTCATCTGGGTCAAAAGGCAATGGATAACCTCGGCAGAGTTCGAGGTCCACGCTGGCACCAATGGGAATGGACTGGAAGATTTTCACAACTTGTGCATGTGTGTGGCCCAACACACAGGTGTCATTCACGCTGACAATGACATCCCCTGGAAACATCAAGAGTTCACAGGTCAGAAAGCACAATATCCTGAAATGATGAGTCGTTACTATTGCACTAGACTGAAGGGGATCCGGGCACAGCATTGCAACACACTTGTAGGCCACTTGGGTATAAAGATTATCTTCAGTTAAAGATAATTTTTAAAAGAGAGGGTTTACCAAGAAGGGCGCCCATCCTTTTATTCTTCCTGAAAAGCAGGAGATAAAGTCGCATGTAGAAGACATCCCCCTGATATCAGAATAGTGATATTCTTATCAAGAACAAGAAATCAATGTCAAGAGAATTTTGGACAAGCCAAGCATGCTACACTGACCTGAAATTCCTATTCATGTCTGTCCATTTAACTACTTAACCCAAACTTCTCTTCCTGGGCCATTTCCTGCAACTTACTATTTTGTATCTATTTTATTTTTTTGGTTTTTTATGAGGGCTCCCTGTCACATAAAACTCATATCAAGCAAATCTCTATGTTTCTACAATCCATCTTAAAGCAGTTGAATGCTCAAGCCCAGGCAAAAACCCTAAGAGGGCAGAGAAAAACGTTGCCTCCACTACGATGGCAATACAAAGTTGAACTGAACCTGGAGTTTGGGGTGATAGAAAGGGCACAGAGACTGCTTCCACTGTTTAATGTAACTCCTAACAGAGTGTGCTGTTAGCATCTCGTACCTTTGCTGCCAGTAAGAATACAGCAGTCACTGTGCAAACATTGACACTTGTTTTTGAAAACAACAACAAAAGAAGTATCCTTGCAGAAATCCAAGTTCAGAGTTGACCTATTTAAGTAGATCACATTTTTAGTAAATTGTGGCTTTACTCTATTCAATAGCACCATGGTAACTTTGCTAAGACAAAGATTTTCATTTATAGCCAGGGATGGAGTTATGCCACAGAAAAATCCAGCACATTCTGCAAGGGTTACAAGGATATTTGGGTTCATGCATTGATGACGATGCTTGCTCTTGGCTGGGGGTGGGAAGATACTATACCACACATTATGTGCCAAGGCCTTGTGGACTCTACCTGTCTCCATCTTGCCATCCAAGGCAGCAGGACCATCGAGGACCAAGCTCTTGATTTGGAGAAACTCATCAGGTTCATCCCCTCCAACCACGGTGAAGCCAAATCCTCGACTGCTTTTCCGCAGCTTCGTGTGGATGAATTTGCCTTTCAACTCGGAAGGGTTTCGTGTAAAAAAGGGTTTGCCTGGATGAAAACAGGAAAAGCACAGGAATGTCAGCAAGAGTGAAAACGTGCGTTAAGTAAGAGAAAGTTTTTCAAGTTTGACCGGGGGAGTTGGGGAGCCCTCTGGGAAGTCGCATCTCAAGAAACACTTCTCCAGGGTGGGCATGTGGCCCAGCCGTGATCACATCCCACAGCAGGGTATGTGAAACTGATTCCTGGCACTGGCTCCCAAACCTAGTATCTTGCCAGTGTAGACTGTGGGAGGCAGATGGTTCAAGTCATTGCGTTCTTGCCGCCTACATGGGATCCTTGGGTTGAGTTTCTGCCTTCTTGCTTCAGCTGTGGCCACCCATGGCTTTTGTGGGTATTTTTCGGGATGAATCACAACATGGCAGCTCTCTGTCTCTCAAACATACACATTTTTCTAAAAGAAAATTTTCAAGAAGACCTCTCTAGATTTTAATAGCAAGGATATTTCTAAAACCATTGGCTTGGAAGACAGCTATCAGTCATATTCAGGACACATCATCTTTAAGGCCTGATAGAGGATGCCAAGGAAGCATGAAATGTGTCTCAATTACGTGATAGAGGTTGATATTGCTTCCCATTTGCTACTTTGGACTTGGCGCCCACTTGGAAAAGTAACTGAACAAACACATTACATTTTAATTAAACAGCAAGCCATGATGAAGATGTACAGATAACACTAAGAAATATAGCTACATACACACAAAATTGGATTTGAATGCAAAAATCACTATTTTGAAAATGACACCTCGTAACTTTACTTCAGGTCAAATTCTAAATTCACCTGATATTTTTCCCCTACTTATTTGTACCTTTTAATAATTTTTGACTGATTATTATTTAAGAGGATATGTGACTTAGGATATCAAAACTGACAAAACCACCCAGAGCCACCAATTAGGGGCTGGCCCTGTGGCACAGTAGGTTAAGCTGCTGCTTGAGAAATCCGCATCTCAATCGTCCTGGCTGCATCTCTTATATCCTGCTCTCTTCCAGTGTGTCTCAAAAAGCAGAAGGTGGCTCAAGCACTTAAGCTCCCTCCACCTACATGGCAGAACCAGCGGAGTTGTTGACTCCCGATTTCAATTTGGACCAGCCCCAGTCATTTTGGCCATTTAGGGAGTGAGCCAGTAGATGGCCGATCTCTCTTCTTTTCTTGCTCTCTGTCACTCTGTCTTTCAAATAAACAAATCTTTCCTTTTTTAAAGTTGGATACACAGAGCTAAATAACTCCCAAACATGCTACATAAACGTTAATTTTCTTAATGTAGTCAAAATTTCATGGGCATCAATCAGAAAGTTCCATTTTGGTTTGATTAAGCACTTCTGTGTTACTGAGAAACAAGGATTTTTTCTGGTTACCTAAATTATGGACACAATTTCATGAGCACAGTTTTTCCTTTCCACTAATGTAACTGTTCTTACTGCAACTTCCTCATCTGCTTCAATTTCTTTTCTTATTGGAAATGCTAACCAAAGAAAGAGAGGGGGAGAGAGTACATGGAGAAAGAGAAAGAGAAAACCTCTGCCCACCCTCCCTGGCACCTTAGGAGGAGCCTGGCGCCCAGAAAGGAAAGCTATTTTTGGGTAGCGCCATCTGAAAGGCCTTAAAAGGTCTCTGGGCATGCATACAACTTTTAATTGCATATTTCCAAAGATTCTGGCTCTTCACAATAAGGTTCTTCTAAATCACCAGAGTCAGGGGCCGGCTCACTACCCTCCTCCCTAGTGCGGTCCCAAGGCTTAGCAGAAGCTTGACAAAAAGCCATCCAGCCATGTCACTGTGGCTCAGCAGAGGCCTGAGCAGGATATGCCATGTGAAGTCATCTGCCAGAGCACCAAGAGCCTGATGTCACCTGCAGCAAGGGCTCTGGGGAGACAGCTGGCAGATGGAAAATTGAGGTCATGTGGTGAACAGGTGTGGGAAGGGGATGGCCTAGCCTCTTATGGCAGAGGCTTTTGGGAAAAACACGTACACGGGGAAAACAGCTGTCACCCTTCCAGGGTGACCTCTGTTGGCCAGCCCATGACAAACAACCGCACCTCTTGGAACAGTTCAGTTCCTCTTTCACTTCTGTCCTGAGCACTTCCCACCTTCTGAGCGTCTGAGTTATGGGTTGCTCTCCCTGCTCGAAGCATCAGGGGCTCTGCCTGAGGGCACACGTGAACATCCGCTAGCAGCCAAGCACCATCAGGTGTCTGTTTAGGTACAATTGCCTCTAGAATACCATCCCCTACATCTCCGGTGCTCTGCATATGTTTGTGGAGTGAAGGAATAAACAAAGCACAAAGACATGAGATGTAACATGCCTTTGAAGTCCGAAAAAAAGTATTGGGTGCCCCAATTTTTTTTTTTGTATGATTTTAACACACATAGTTGCAAGATGCGGAAACATGCCCAGGCAGTTTACCTGAGAAAAATTTTGAAAGCCATGAGTAAATCTGGGGCTTAGAATATTTTCAGCTTGACAGAGATAGCAGAAGAGCTTTGAAATTGTGCCACAGACTGCCTTATCCTGGGCTTAACTGGGGAGGGAAGACCAAAGATTTTCATATTTACACATATTTTATTATTTTTATGGATCACAACTTAATGTAGCGTTGGGGAACAAGTGATTTTTTTCCTTCAAGCAGTTGGAACTTGGAGTTCCCTGCTGCAGCTCTGTGTTTCATGGGATGTTTGCAAATGCCACCCTCTATTGACCAGTCACCACTTGTAGGATGTGTTTGCGTACAAAAAGAATCTAGGCGGCTTCTAAAAAAAATGTTTTCACTCCTAACTTCTACCCCTTGATTCATTTTATCACCAACTTTTGTGTCTTAGTTCAGAACACACACAATCCTTGCACTTCAACAGCATTCTGAAGCTTGTTTCCCTGCTGGGCCTGCAGTATTTTTCATGATTGTGTTTGAATGCTCCTGGTCAGGTCATACCAATAGCACTGTTGCTACACGGAAATGCTCTACAGCTGCACTGTCTGATTCAGCAGCCACGAGTCACACCCAGTAATGATGGAACCCTTAAGATGAACTGAGGAACTCAGTTTCTTACTTTTGAACCATAATACATTTAATTCATAACAGAACCAGTGGCACCCTGGCTGACCAGGATGGATGCAGACTATACCATGAGGCATCACCCAAAAAACAAAACTACCACATCAAGGCTTTAGTCAAAAGTTAAACCATTCCTATTGCATAAATCTGTGCTAGACTATTTACTGGCTGTGTGGTCTTGGGTCTTGGGAATGTTACTAAGCCTCTATTCACTTAAGTTTTGCAACAGGAATGGAAGTAACATGGCTCCTACCATACATGACAATTGTGATGAGTAACTGTCATGGACCATGAAGGTATAGGATGCTTGGCACAGAGTGAGAGCTCCGTCAACAAATTCTTAATTTGACAGTTATCTTGGCAGGGTGACTGCAGTGGAAGGGCAACTCACAAATAATCTTCCAGCCATACAGTTAAAATTGAAGAACTTGGCTAAGAGCACATCTCTAAAATGACCACGTGCTGGATTTATGTGAAAGGCAGTTACACAGAGAGAATGACAGACAGCGGTAGAAATCTTCCATTTACTGTTTTATTCCCCAAATGGCAGTAATGGCTGAGGCTGTACCAGCGCTGAAGCCAGGAGCTTGGGGCTTCTTCTGAGTCTCCCTCATGGGTGCAAGGACCCAAGAACTTGGGCCATCTTTTGCTGCTTTCCAAGTTGCAGAAGAGAATGTTGGATTGGAAGTGGAGCTGCTGGGACTTGAACTGGTGCCCACATGGGATGGTGGCACTAAAGATGGTGCCTTAACCCATTACACTGCAGTGCCAGCCCCAAGAAATTCTTATTAACCAGAGGAGTTCAGTTGAGTGGTGAATTTAGCAAAAATTAACACCAAAGAATCTAATAACCAATTTATGTATATAGCTTCTTCTGAAAATGCTAGCAACATTTAAATAGTACATATCAGACGACAAGACTAGATGGCTGATCAATATATTTAATTAGCAAGTGAGTAACTGGGGATCATAACCAATGAGAATAAAATCTAAATTGGTGTCTATCACAATTACAGCTTAGACGAAAAGGGCACAGATTTTTACTGATTTCTTTGATAACAATTATATTCCAAAGACTGAAAAACAAAAACCATCATGACAACTGTGCAGGAAGAAGAGTTGCAAGGATAAATGAGTCAATCACAGGGAGGGGTTAGTAAGTATAAGCCTTCCCAGGCCACTATCAAATCCAAATGGACTACTGAAGAAAGAAAAGGAAGGAAAAAAAAATGAAAGCAAAAATGATACAGAAAAAATTTCATTTCTCAGATAGGTAATACTACTGGAGTTGACTCAATTTTTGCCTTAAGCATTTAACAGCCGGAAAACATATGTTCACGCTTTAATTAATTGAAGCTACTCTTTAAACAGCCTTGGCCTAGTTATCATACATATATGTGTATACATTTATGGATCTAAGATGACTTCAAACAATTCATGGGAAAATAGAATGAACAAAGTTTATTTTGGTACAAAATTTTTTGAAAGCCATGCATTGACTTTTCAAAACACGCATTTTTCCTGAGCTTTTTGAAGAACCCTTTATATGCATGGATTTCAAAAAACTTGGTCTCTTAAAGAAATTTATCTTTAAATTTCAGCTCCACAAACTTTCTGAAGTAATGTCAGTGAAGTAAGCAATGTTACACTCAACAACAAACTTCAGAAAAAAATTATGTATCATGCAATGAAGCTTGTTTTGAGGTTAACCACAGTGGGGAAAAATAATAACCAGTCTCTTACTTTCATGAAACTAAAAACCTAATGAGAAAACCATATAACACAACAAGAATGCATGCAAAATCTGCCTGAAAAGTTTTACAAGTGGGAAGGACCGAATGTTGTAAAGACTGAATATGGTAGGAGAATCAAGGAAACACCTGAGACAAGCAGGGGTTAGGAAAGGAAGTAGAGATAAGACAGGTACACACAGGCACAACAGCCCAGGGAAAGGTCTGGGTCCATTCTCTCCGGTACAGGGTGCTAAAGAGGATGGTGTCACTAACTTACTGAAAGAGAGGGAGCAGAAAGACACATTACCCTATGGAAGGAATCTGATCATCAAAAATACTAATGAAGCCACACCCATGTTCATATCAATATATTATCTACTATGTTGTAGCTTTATTAAACCTACTATCATCATTTTTTAAAAGTATATGTATGCTATAAGAAACTACACCTCATTTCAATACTAATACATGGCAATGTCAGCAGAGACTTTGTCTAATTACAAAAATCAAAATCAGGGGCTGGTGTGGGTTGTGCTTACATCCACCACCTGTGATGCTAGCATCCCCTGTAGGCACTGGTTTGCATCCTGGCCACTCCATTTCCCATCCAGGTCCCAGTTAATGCATCCCTAGGAAAGTAATGGGAGGTGAACCAAGTGCTTGGGCACTGCACCCAAGTGGGAGACACGGAAGAAGCTCCAGACTTTTGCTTTGGCTTGGCTCAGTGCCGAGTGTTACAGTCATTTGGGAAAGGAACCAGTGGATAGCAGAGCTCGCTGTCTCAGTCTCTCTGCCTCTGTAGTGCTGCCTTCCAAGTAAATCAAATAAACCTTTTGAAAAAATTAAAATCAGAGAAAAGAGTATCCTACCCAGCTTTTAACATCTCACACACTAGCTATATCTAAAGTTGCAGAGGAAAAAGACGAATCTTACAGCCTCTCTAGTGTTTCTGGTCCACACACTTTCCCCAATTCTACCAAACAGGATGCTTGTTCTAGTTCTATTATTAAAAAACAAATAAACAAACAAACAATCACAAACTGAGCAAGGTTCTTTCTTCTCATTGAAGAGGACTGAAGCTTGAAGGAGCAAGGTTCTGGAGCATCCACTGTTCAAGAATGAAGCTCTTAGGGAGCTCAACCTATAAGTGAGACCACTGAGACATAGAATATGCATCAGTGGTAAGACTGGGACTCTTGCCGTGGCATAGCAAGTGAAGTCACCACCAGCAAAGTGAGCACCCCCCACAGCAGTGCTGCTTTGAGCCTTGGCTCCTCTACTCATAATATGACTTCCTTCTAGGAAAGCAGCAGAGTATCCCTGATTCGTCAGTCCACTTCTACCCATGTGGGAGACCCAGATGATATCCAAGTTTCTGGATTTGATCTGCCCAGACCTGGTTATTGTGGAAATGTTGGGAGTGGACCATGGGATGGAAGAGCTCTCCTTTTAACAAATAAATAAATCTTTAAATAAATGCCCAAACTGTGCCAAGAATGGGGGATAAGAATTGAAAAATGTGATGTTAAATCATTTACATACTATCTATGTCAAAATCAAACATATTAACAAGAATCCAGAAATGATGAATGCTGAATTTTGAATTTGCCTTATCTAACAAAACAATAAATACTACACACTCTAAGTGTAGGACATTACTGGTTGTCACATCTGTGGATGGGAGCTGTGTTCCTGTATGCTCCTGGCAACTAGTGGACAGAGGCCAGACTACTGCTAACCCTGACACAAACAAGTCTGATGCAGCTTGGTGCTCAGGCAAGGCAGGTGAAGCTACTGCCTGTGATGCTGGGATCCCATATGAGTGCTGAGCTGGAATACAACCGGCTGCTCCACTTCTGATGCTGCTCCACTCCAGATCCAGCTGCCTGCTAATGGCTTAGGAAAAGGGTCAGAAAAAGGCTCAAGTACTTGAGCCACTACCATCCACGTGACAGACCAGATGAAACCCCTGGCTAGGGAGTGAACCAGTAGATAGGAGATCTCATTTTTTCTCAACTCTTACTTACAAAAGAATTATATGTCACAGCATGTCAGTGGAGCAAAGGTTGAGAAACTCGCCATTAAATGATCATTCAGCAAGTGGTCCTGACTTTGAGAACATTATCAGGAATCAAAGAGATTTACTCAGAAAAATTTCTAAATTTTTTTGGACAAGTTGGATTAACAATACACCCAGACTGGCTTTCATTATTTATGATTTTTACTATCAAAGGAATGACTTAAGAGTCACAAAATTCCAGTTTTTACAAGTAACGATTTCCTGACTTAAAACCATGATGCAATGTTAAGAACACTGTACCCTGAAGTGGAGCTTCTCTGGCTGGCTCCGGATTGCTCGGGGGGTGGCTTGGAATCACAGGAGGCACAAGGGATGAATGATCTTCTGTCCATTCTAGAAGAAAGAAAACAAAGCTAGGTGACTGGTGGATCATTTCTTACCTGCTAACACTTAACGCTCTAAAACCAAGCGCAGAGAGCTTGCAGGCACCAGAAAACGAAAGAGAGTGCTGTGGGCTGGTGAAGGGGACAAGGCTGGACCCCTGTACTGTGTCTAGGGTTCAGGACAGAAGACAACTGAGGGAGAAGGGGAAGATTGTCACGGCTGGAATTGAGGACAGCTCTGTCAAATACAAGGCCTTCCGGAAGACCATGGGCACTGCAGGCAGAAGCATGATCCTGCCACTAGGAGGCCACCTACTATTGAAAAAGAAAGCTGTAATTCCTCCTACAGGAGGAAACAAAGTAGGAAAAGCCAAAAAAAAAAAAAAGTGTGATCTTTTGTCTTAGATAGTCGGGACATTTATACTGCAATATCTATCCAAATGATTACTTAATCAATTTATGTATTTCTCTTTGTGTGTGTGTATCCAACAATCTTTACTTCTCTGATGAGTCCAAATTTAGAACAAATAATACTGATCTATCAATATATTTATCTCTATATAGAAATATTTAGTTATATATATAACTCTATTTATAACTCTCTATATATAATTATTATATATATAATTTCTCTAAATAGAAACATTTATGTGGCCAACAAAAACTCTGTTTCTTTGCCTGAAAGTGCAAAGTGGGAATAAATAAGAACTACCAGGAAAGACAGACAGTCACCAAAGGAGAGTCCTCAAAAGAACTGTCTGCAGGGCAGCTCACACCCAAGCACTGAGAGCTTCGATCGTGTGGTGGAGGAAGGAGGGTGTCAGCACTTCGTTCAGGTACTACCACCTCTGTCGTCGCTGAAATGCACCCAGGGCCCAGGACTGTACTCCTGGTTCTAACAAGAAAGTAATTCAAAGCATTTGTGACAAAATGCAGCAATGAAGTATTCTGACAATTGTGAAATCTATGTGCAGTCTTTGGTTGACTTTCTTCCTTTAGTCTCAGTCACCATGGACACCCAGAGAGTTCCCAGTGGGGACTGCTTGGGAAGGACCCCCCCCTTCCTTCCCAGTGCAGCTAACACATTCATTCAATCACCTGCTCCCATTCTCCAAGCTGTACATGTGAACACTGCCAGCAGCAGCTCAGAGACATTCCTCAAAAAGGACTTCTTGAACAAAAAAGAGTACTAAGGGACAGGAAAGAACTTTAAAATGGGCAAACAAATACAGACACATGTGTACACACATTCCATATGTCACAGTACAGGACATCAGCTAGCTAGCATTGGTCCACCAGCCAAACTGGGCCCAAATTGGGCCCCAACCGGGCACACAGCCTGGAAGTCAAGAATAGTTTTCCTATTTTTAAATGGTTGGGGGAAAAAAGGTAGACTCTTTTATGACACATGAAAACTACATGAAATTCAAAATAGAGTGTTCATAAATAAAGTTTTGCAGAAACACAGCTACATTCACTCATTTACATGCTGCCTATTGCTGTTTTTATCTGCAATAGCACAGTATGTGTCAGAGATTGTATGAATTACAGAGATTGAATTATTTACCACCATGGCCATTTACTGAAGTTTGTGAACCCATAGTTTAAGGTCTGTGTTTATGAATATTGAACATTACAGTATCAGAAGCATAACACTTGGCTTTCATATATTTGGTATTAACATACTAAAGGGCTATTAAGCCTATTATATTTAAAGATTTTAGCCAAAGATGAACAAAGCCAGGGCCACAGCATTGGATCAACTGGCTAATATATCCCAATCCCCAAGAGTCAGCAACCCATATGGGGGCTGGCTCTTGTACTGGCTGCTCCACTTCCCATTCAGCTCCCTGCTTGTGGCCTGGGAAAGCAGCAGAGGATGGTTCAAGGCTTTGGAACCCTGCATTCACATAGAAGACTCAGAAGAAGCTTTTGGCTCCTGGTTTGGGATTGGCTCAGCTCCTGCGATTATGGCCACGCCCTTTCCAATAAAAATAAATCTTGAAAAGAAGGGGGAAAACCCTAAGTGTATATATCAATAAAAATAGGGTTAATTAACAGTGAAGACATTCATAAAATATTACATGGTTAATAGAATTGAAGCATAGCTGAATCTCTATTAATCAACACTGTTATATCAAAAGAAATAATTAGGAAGACTTTCATGTCCTTTATTCCTGAAATGCAGATTTTGTTTCTTACAAACAGCATTAAATAACCTATCACTCTTTGAAAGCACCCCAAATCACCAACCCTTTCTAATTCTTACACATCATGGCTCCCAAATTAAGAGTGAGTTTTTATGTCCAGGAACTCAGCTTTAAAGAGAATGCAAAAGGAGGTTTGTGTACAGACAGCCGCTGCAGAGAGAGAACTGGGCTAAGGCAAGGAGAACCCCTCACTTTGAGGTAATTCCCAAATCTAAAATGTTCTTGTCTAGTTAAAGTGGAGATGGGGTGCTTCTGAGGTGGAACCCCACAGCTGCCCTCCAGGGTGGCTTCCGGGATTCAGAAGCTCTGTATTCTTGCTACTTCCAGGACATTAACTCAGCCTGCAGAACGAGCTGACCACCATGTCCAGTTTTGACCACACGGGGGTGTCAGTGCCCAGCGTTCACCCCAGGTTCCCTGCAGGAGCAAAGTCTCCTGGGGAAAGGCTAACCTTCAGCCAGAGGCTGCTGCTGCTGTGGCTGCTGTTGCTGCTGCTGTTGCTGCTCTAGCTGCTTCTTCCGTTTGGCTTCTAGAACTGGATTCTCATACTGTGTCTTCCTGTTGATGTGGCTGGGGAAGAAAAAAGATAATAGTTAGCTAGGAAACAGCATTTCACCAGCAAAATGCCCATCAGGCCAGTCCCAGGAAAGTGGGTGGGCTGACAGGCTAACTCTGCAGCTGCAGAATGCACACTTAGGGAGAGGCCATAAAACTGAATGGTCTCCATTACCAAATGCTTCTATGTCCCATGCACCATGTTACCAGTTCCACACCCTTCATTTGAAAACTTCTAGTAACTGATAGCAGATGAGCTGCTTTTATCCACAAAATTGTGTCCTGTTATCTGTGGGGAGTATGTTTCAGGACACCCCATGAATGCTTGAAAGAGCAGTAAAGCACCAGATGTGTGTGTGTGTGTGTGTGTGTGTGTGTGTGTGTATACACACATGTGCATATACATACAAAACTTTTTCCTACACATACATATCTGTAATAAAATTTACTTTATAAATTAGGTACAGTAAGAGATTAACAACTTACCACAGAAATTAGCAACTTCACATATCATTTTTACTTTTTCCTTATTAACTTTAGAATTCTCACTTTTTTTTTTTAGTGAGAAGAAGCATTTCACAGCTTTTCTTGATATATTCGGTTTGCTGGTGTTACTACTTTTTCTCTTGGGGGCATCATTCAGTCAAATAGCGCTTACTTGAACACAAGCACTGAGACATCTCCATAAGCGATGGGATACCAGAGTTGGCTACTATGTGAATAACAGGGGAGGCTGCGTATCCAGCACCTGTAGGCTGGATACAAGGATGGCTAAGATTTGGGGCAGGGTGAATACAACAGAAGAGACCTCACCTCAAGACTCAGAACAGTCCAAGGTTTAAAATTTAGAAATCATTTCTGAAGTTCTCCATTGAATATTGTGAACCATGGGTAACTGAGTAACTGACATGAACTGTGGATAAGAAGAGACTACTGCATTTTATAGATAAGGGAAGAGAATATCTGAGCAGTTAATAATTCAGATGACGTATCTGTAAGCAGTACTGGTGTACAAGTTCCAGTCTACCTGCCTTCCCATTCCAAGGCTGTGAGCACTGACCCTTCTCAAGAAGAAGAAGTAGCTTTGTTTCACGTAGCAGAGATAGAATAATTTAAAAATGCAAACAAAGTAGATAGGAGATGCTGTCTGTAACATACAGGGCCAGAACTGCTGCATGACTTTCTAATACAGGGTGTGCAGAAGCCTAAGTTTTTACCCAAAGAATATGGTTTAAAACAGAACTCCCCAAATATCTGTCAACTATTCTGATCAACTGACATGGAAAAGGGATTAAAAGTAGAGTCCTCAGGTGAAGAAACAAAAAGTAAACCCCTCCAAATATGGGTGACCAAAGCAGATGTGACATGTTCAAAGTGACAAGGATTCAGATCCTTTGGAAGGCCACAAAACCATGTAGGCCATGGCAAAAATGAATACACATATATATGTGGATACACAGAAATGCAGAGATGACTTCTGCCATTGTCTTATTTAGTGTGGGTGTGTAAATACGGATTGCGTATTTCAAAAAGATTGTGAAGATTGGAATTAAAGGTAAGTTTATTTTGAGGGGGTGGGGGGGAAAGCAACAACTTTGATTTCTATACGCATAAAGGCTTCTACCAGTTCGAGTAAAATGTGTATTTTGAAAAAAAGTATACATAGACTTCAAAAGGGTTTTTGTAAAAAAGTATACATAGACTTCAAAAGGTTTTTTTGTTTTTCTCCCTAGATTTACTTATTTGAGATAGAAAGTGAGAGACAGCCTGTACCTTCTGGTTCATTCTGCAAATGCCTGGAGGACTGAAGACAGAAGTTGGGAAGTCAAGCAAGGCTTTCCCTCTCAATCTAATCTATCTCCTGGAAAGGAACTGGAAGTCAAAATTGAAACCAGGTATTCCAATAAGAAATGGGGCTATCTTCACTAACATCTTAACCACGAGGTTAAACCCCAATGTGTGTGTGTATGCATTTTTTAATTCAAAACTTCAAATTAATTATAGCTTAGAAATATGGACATGAATTTATCATATGCCTGTTTAAAACACCAAATATGCTTTTTTTAAAAAAAAAATCAGGCTTTTTTTTCAAATAAAAACTTGTGAAACAGGTAGGTAAATTGATTACCTTTAATTTCTATTAAAGATTGACATTTTAATTCTCAATTCTTGTAGGTAATTTCAGTTGAAGAAACACTAAGAGGCCCGTGGATAAGACATTAAAAAAAACCAAAGGAACAAGAACTGAAGGGTAGGATAGCATCCCATTTCTCAAACTGCATCTCTTTAGTTATCATAGCTGTTATCACCTGCTCCCTTTTCTGAGTGCAAACTACATGAAGGACAAGACAAAAGAGACCCAAAAAGCAGAAACCTCACCATACATCACCAAGAAAAATGATCTTTGGAGCACACCAAGGACATTTATTTACTCCTGTAAACTTCAGGAAAACTATTACATTTGCTTTTTTCTCATGCCCCTAAATGCCAGTCCTACTAGCCAGGTAAACAGGAAGTGGTATTAGTATTTGTCAAGAACACCTGTTGTACTGAAATGATAAAACGATGGTTTACTGGGCAATTCATGCTCTGGCATTGTGTTTTATGTTCATATCATCATGGTATTACACAAATAACTTCACAGCCAGCAGTGTAAGGAAAAGGAATTCTGTCTTCATTCTAACAGCCAAGGTTCTGATGATGTATTTATTTGGCATTTGTTTGCCTTTTATGGGTTTATTCTTATTTTTCTTACAGAAAATGATATGAAGACTGTGCTTCAAGGTTCTGCCGAGCTTCTTTTTCCCATCATCCCATTAATCAGTGGCTATGTTGAAAGGGGAAGAGTGAGCCCCATGCTGGCACGAACACAGTGAATGGGGTCTGATGAGGCTTGACTAGAGCCAAGAGAAATCACAGGTAGGGTCCTCAGGCAAGGGTCAGTGACAGAGGCCACAAAGGTTTGCAACTTGACCTCAATATCTCCACTTCATGCTTGTTCTCACCAACATGTGACAAGTGATCAAGATCTGTTTGCTCCTCGCAGAATGTGTGAATAAAGAAGTAATAATAATGGCTGGGGAGTTTAAATCTGAGTAGGGCAAAAGGGAGGCCACAGAAGTCCCCATCCTCTTGAAGATGAAATTCTTCAGGTTCACCAAACCTTTCTTTCCTCAACAAGCTTCTACTGAGTACCTGTTATCTGTCAGTACTAGGCTTCAACTTGGCAATGCAGTAAGAAACAAAGATTTGGATTTTGTTCTTTTAAATGTAATATTATCTTCAGGCATTGTACAGTTTCTTTTACAAAGATTTTTAAATTTATTTGCAAGCCAGAGTGACATACATATACAGAGATTGAATGAAAGAGAATTTTCCTTGCTGGCTCACTACCCAAATGGCTGCAAAGGGCCAGGAAGGGCCAGGCTGACTAGCAGACAGAAATTTCATTTGAATCTTTCAAGTGGGTGGCATGGGTTCTAGCACTTGGGCCATCTTCCACTGTTTTTCCAGGCACATTAGTAGGGAGCTGGATTAGAAGAGGCTGGGACATGAGACAGTGTTTTGCTACAGGATGCCACCACCACAGGCCTTAGCTTGACCTGCTGAGCCACATAATGTTGTCCCACTGCATACTTTTTCATTCATTAAAATGTACACACAGGTGTGAGCATTGTGGTGGAATCATTTGTCACTTGGGTAACTCACTTCTTATGTCACAGTGCCAATACAAGTCCTACCAACTCTTCTTTTCAATCCAGCTCCCTGGTAATGTGCCTGGGAAAGTGGTGCATGTTGGTCCAACTACTTGAGTATCTGCCATCCCTGTGGGAGACCCAGAAGGAATTCCTGGCTTCTGGCTTCAGCCTGGCCTAGCAATAGCGGTTTTAGGCATTTGGGGAGTGAACACATAGATGAAAAATTTCTCTGTCTCTGCATTTTAAATAGATAGGTCTTAAAACATATATACATACATATTTTAATTATAGAATTAATATTATTCTTATTAAATGTGATCAGGCATGATGATAAGCTTTGTATAGCTTCCATGTGAATCAGTAGAGGGGTACAAACTGCCACGTAGATTGTGAATAGCCACTTACTCTACATAGTAGATACCATAGACAGGGTCTTCAATCTTTTCCCAACCAGCAGGCAGTTCTGAAAAATAAAACAATGTTTTGAGCAAAAAGTGCACATTCTGAAAAAAACCCTAGGGATTTTGAATAACTAGGATAGACAAAAAGTCCCATAAAAGTGCCTTCACTCAAAACTATGTATCCGAACCAATAAGAAGAAAGCATGTACTATTTTATATTTTTATTTCATCAGTGTATTTCTCTACATGAAGAACCAGTGTTGACCTGCTGGTATTTTGAAAAGATAATGAAATGCATTCTTGATGCCTTTACTCTAAGTCAACTATTAAGTTACAGTTCAATGGATATGTAGTTGATACTGGCCTTGAATGTCTACTCCCTACCTTCAGTATCTGCTGTTCCTCATTTCCTTTCTAGATTACTGTACCTCTCTGGCAAAAATGGATGAGACTGAAAGTCCCTTTTCAATACAATAGTGCTATTTTGATCTCACCAGAATAAAACTAGATCCTCATCTTACTTTCTCCTAGTTTGTAATTAGAATGCTACTTAGTAAACAAAAATGCCCACTTGGAGCAACATTTCTAAATTGCAGGGATCAATCACTCCACTGCTGTGTTTGGGCTAGTCCATCTTCCCTAGCACGTTACCCATGCAAGCAGAAACAGAAGACCTGCTCACCTAGAACTCAGGACTCACACCGGAAGACTTTATCCTCCACACACATTGGCCCAAAAGCACAGGCAGATACATGTGCCCTGTTCAAAGCTCAACCATGCTGTAATGGATGTGACTTCACAAGGTTTCACACTGAAGTGTGTAAGTTTATCAACTTTTCTTAAGTGAATTCCATGGACAACAAGAATGTGTTATGGAAAGACCCAATGCATCAAACTCTTTTGCTCCTTACAGCAGCTATTTTGTGTTTTGTGTCACTAAGTAACTCTTTAAAGCAGAGCAAAAATGGGGTGACTCGATTCTAAAACTGCCTTGACACACATAGTCAAGGCTAGTCTGTATAAAAGCAAACCCTAAAGTGAACCAGCATTCCTAGAAATAGCTGGTTAAGACCAAATTGAATGGAATACTCTCAACATTTGCAACATCACTTACTTCAAAATAGTTTATCTAACTTCAAGGAACTGGGAAGTCACTACGTTCAGATAATGACCTCCTTTCTTCCGAAGAGAGAGTGTGCAAGTGCCAGACACAGTTCAGACTGAAATGGAGGTACGTGTATGTACACAAACACCGAGACTAATTACTCAAAAGTTTATGTCTTGTTAAGATTTGGCGGCACATCAAGAAACATTTAATTTCATGGTTTTTGCTCCACATGTTACTTGTTTGCAAACAAAGAGACAAATTTTCCCCTTTTCTTCTAATTTATTTGTTGTTTTTTTTTTAAAAAAAAAAACTTAGCAGGTTTTAAAGAAGTCTTTGAATTCTGGAAGACACAAGCCAGTGAAATGCAAGACAGGTCCAATTTGCAGATGTTGATACAACTTGACATGTTTTATATACCAAGTCCTGTGGGCTGATGCAAATCAAATGCCTGGGAAATGATTTCCCCTTACAAAGCTGGAAATTACCATTTAAATGAAACCAAATCCAGAAAATATTTCCAAAGAGTTGAAAAATTGAAGATTAAAAAAATGCAAATTGATACACAATCACATTTGGATAAGGTAGAAGAGCAGGTGAAAGTGAGGGGGTCATATTGCGTTTAATCGAACCAGCCCTCTTTGCAGAATCAGCAACCTGAAATATTTGATTGATGGTCTTTGGAGGATATAGGGGAAACATTAAGCATTCTATTTGCTTAACTATTAATCTGGGAAACATTTATTGAGCACCTAATGTGTGCCTGAGGATGTGCTAGATACTGGGAACACAAAGGTAAGTATAAGGGTCTTAACTAAGCAGAAAATCCAGGCACATGTTAGTGCTTTGGTGGAAGTCCGAGGAAGGTACAGGGGAGAAAAATCTACCCCTATCTTTTGACCTTCTGCCCAGCCAACAATTAACCATTGACACTTCTGGACAGACCTCAATTTAAACACATCTTCTGGAACAGATTAACAAACTCCAGACATTTTCCAGTTTTTCAAGTTGAAACTCATTTCACATTGAAACGATAGATTTCTCACTTCCAATGTGGTGATTAACTTAATAACAGGAATTAGTCTTCTAAAGCCGAAAATAGAAATAGGTCACGGATTTAAAAAAGAAAGATGTTTGTCCTACAATTTGCCATGTGGTTCTAAAAAAACTGAACATGGCAGCAAATATGTAAGCCTAGAAAGTGATAACATAACTTTTTAAAGATGAATGCTTTGGAGCATCCTAGAGAGGCATCTTTCTAAACTCCGCCAGGGAGTAGACCAGACGGTACAATCTAAGAGACTCTAGAGTGGCAGATGGGGGAGACCCTTTTGGATTCACTCTCATTGGGTGCCTGGTCTTGGGCTGCATCTGAACATCCCATAGCAGCAGCTTTTTCCTGGGTTTTTCTCCAAAGCTAATCATGCATTAAAAATAAAGAAGCTTGCAAAACCCACAGCACAGTGCCTGGCACACAGGAAGCACTTTGATAAATAGCAGGTGCTCCAAGAAAGGATAAAAGGATCAGATCATAGAGTTCCAGAATCTGTGTGCTTGCTACTCCTGTCTGTGAAAATCCCATGTTGCCCTACGTTGTCACCACAGAGTAAATAATGAGCAGTTAAATATCTGAGCTCTTTTCTAAAGGGATTTGTCACTGTACAAATGGAAAATTGTGTTCAATATCAGAGACAAACAGTAAAATGGTGACTTAGTTCTGGTTGAGAGGGAAACTCAATTTCTCATCTCTAGCACTCCTGGTTGGTTTCATTACATGAATCCCCCATTCTTCCCACTGAAGGTCCTGCAGTTGCTTTAGGATTCTGGGGATGTGGACTGCAAAGTATGTAATAAATTGTGCTAACTCAAAGCACACAATGAAGCTACTGACCCAGCTCAAAGAAAACACTTCACAAATGACAACTCTATAATCAAATGATCTGTGTCCAACACCACTGCCACCCACGCCTACCAGAGGCGGATTTCAGACAGGATTCCTTGTCACATCTGGAATCACATTGTTCACTGAAAACCTGACAGTTGCAATTGTTTGCGATGAGGACTCTCTTATTAAGAAAATGGGCAGTGAGCCTATTGGTAGAGGAAACAGCATGTGTGTGGGCATGTGTACAACATGCACATGCTAGTTTCAACACAGTGGACATGTGTAGCCAAACACTAAGGGTCCTGGCTCTCTACCCTACCTGGAAGCACATGCTTACACCATGTCTATCATACACAACGTATTTGTCCCTTGTTCCTGCAGAAGGGACAAAGTACCGGTGTTGAGATCCTGAAAAACCCAATAGGAAGGAATTAGGTCATAAACGATAAAACTGGTAAGAAGCAGCATGTGCTGATTGTAGGAACAAATTTCCATGAAGTCTCTCCACAAGAACTAAGAGAGTCCCTTTCTCAATCCATCTTTACAGACTGAAAAACAAAGAAGAAACTCCATGAAGGTAAATACCTCGCCTAAGGTGACATAGCCAGAATGGGAGTGGTTGGACCCAAAAGGTAGTGGAGTGAGGCAGCCTGATCTGGCCTCAGAGAGAGTGCCACAAATGCACCCAGATGTCTCGTGGAGTTCTAGCTGTCACCATGAGAATGGAGATCATGTCACCATAACAACTCATTAACTCATTTAAAAAAAAAATAACAGCTTTAAAATGTTCCCACACAGTTACACAGAGGGAAGAAAGACAGAAACATCTTCCCTAGGAATTCCAACACATACATTTCCAGGGAAACCAGTCAGCATGCGCCTCTGTCAACAGCTATGCAACCTCTGTTGGTCACCTGCCACAGCCAGAGTCACATGTATGCAGGTAGCAAGAGTGGTTGAAGCTGGTTTCACAAATAATGAAGGCACTTGTTTTGTGTAAAGAAAATTAAGTTAGGGAGTGTTTTTTAAAATTACTTTTTCTAAACTACCTAATTTCAGGGGAATGAACCTCAAGGTAATCTGGCCATCATGACTCCAAGAATAACTTGTTAAATATTAACAAAATAGATTTTTCAATCATTATTGCCCATCTTCTGTATATTTATCAAATGCAATAGGATATTTTCCAAACAGTAAAAGAAATAATTTATTATAATTCCTGTGAACCATAACAGATGTCCTTTACCTGTGTAAATAAAATAAAACTGCATGAAAGCAATAATCTGCATTAGATACACTTCCATTTTCAGGGATTAAGGCAATCTCAAAAATACCAAGTATACTAAGTAAACTTAAGGCCTTTCCATTTATAGTGGTTTTCTACTTAAAGAAAAAAAAAAATATGTTCAATTTGCAAACAGCCAGGCACTTCAGTAAGGGAGTTGATGGCTGTGCTTTCCTCTGTAGCCTCTGAGGAAGCACTAGATGGAAAGCAAATCAAGGTTAACATTGTTCAAAGTTAAACATAATCCACTTTACATAGTAGTGAATATAATTCAATGTTTCCTAATATCATGCATCAATGTAAATCATTTCTAAATTGTAATACCGACAGCAGTCAAGACTGAACTGACGCTGATACATTCATGGTACACAGGAAGAATGTACCTGGTATCCAAGCCATTCAAAATAGTGACCAAGTCAAGGGCACATGGTTGTGTCTCAGCAACCACATGATCTAAAAGCTACTGACTACTCAGTCACTGGGATTCTTTCACTACAACTACTCCTACGACAATCCTTCAGTTAGCCTTTGCTCTTGTTCTAGACTCAGTTTCCTCAGACTATTACTTTGTGGATACAACCTATTAAAATCCTTTGGGAGGCCAGCAGTCAGGCACATGGGTCACGAGACTGACCTTCTGAGGAAAAGCCAAAGAGAAACTCATAATTGGAGAAGTGCAAACTACAGAAACAGACAGATTAAGCAATTCACCCAGGACAAAACAATGCAGGGCCGATTGTGCAGCTATAGCAAGCAAGAGAGGCTTTACCTAGTTCACTGTCCAGCTCCTCGGTGTGTACCCCTTCTTCTCCAAAGTAATAACAGGAATGAGACAGAAAAGAGAAAGAAACAATCAGACACCAGCACCGAGAAAGAAACTTTCTTTAGAACAAAACAGCAGCATACACACTTCTTTATTTGTCCTTACCTGTGTTGTGGCTGGGCTAGTAAACTTACATGACCTCAGTGTAAATCACAAAATGGAAAGAGCTGATATTGACAAAATAATTACATGGCTCATTTCCTTGCACGTCAAAATGAGGTTTGATTGTAAAAGATGACAAACACTTTTGTGGTCTCAATGTTCATAAGTGGGAAGTCACTTATTACAGAACATATTTGGAGCAAATGAAGCTGATACAGAACTTCTGATATGATATCAGTTCTCTTAATCCTTTAATAAGTCTCTAGTCAGTGAGGCGATTACACTCACAATTAAAGTGTTACTGAACTAATGCAGCTGCTTGAACAATGGCACATGAGGTCAAAATGAGAATGCAGATATTATAATGAGCTCAAAATGGAGCTAGGAAGATGAATGATGTCATGATGATGTATACCAAGGAAATAATGCTTGACAGCTGCCCCAAAAGATTATAGGGAGCAGAGCTAACTGTGTTGGTGGTTATATTTGTACAAGTTTTCTAAGTCAGATAGCTCTGAAATATTAGCATGAAAATGGCCTCAATAATTTCAATGAAAATAAACAAATCAAAATCCTTCCCATGTCTCACCTCATCTAGCTGTGAGTAAAAGAGTTATTACCAAAAACACGGGACAGTACACCAAATTCACCAGCTACAGAGCAGGTGGCTGTGCCTTCCACTTCAAACTTCACTAATGGAAGGAAAAGAGCTATTAAAACTCTTCTCACAATAGCAATGTGCTCAGCACTGCATATAGCTTTGGGAACACATTCAGTATTGAATTAATGTCAATAATTAAAAAAAAAACTACCATCCAATCCACAAATGGAGTTTTGACTTAAGTAATCAGCATGGTCCTACTTAACTGCCAATAGTAAGATGTGATTGGCATTGTTTCTCACACAAAATCCTTGTGAAAATTACCACTTGCATATTATCTTGGAATGTTTTGGGGAACGCTTTTTCACTTCTTCATAAACTTGTACCTACAATGTACCAGTGACTGTGCAAGGCAAGAGAAAGCAAAATGAGCACAACCAGATGCATTTCCATCCTCCTGGAAGAGGAGACAAGGCCAAAGCTCTCATCAGTAAATTAAGACCATACTAAGTGCTCAAGAGCAAGCTGCAAAACAGGGCAATTGAATCATATCTAAGGTCAAGGTCATGGGAAAAAAAAATCTCAGGGCTGCAAGTTGATAAATTTGTAGAATTAAAAAAAAAGGTGTGGGTGAGAAAATGACTAGAATACAAACTCCTATAAAAGCAAGGCTTTTGTATGTGACAGTCCTTGATACACCTTAAGTGCCAAGAATGAATTGGAAGGTGCTCAACGACTCTGTATGAATTGTATGTGAACCCTAAGAAGCGAGAATTGCACAACCAACTGTCACGGAGTAGCAGGGATGAAGAGCAGAGAGCTAAAAGCAAGAGAGTTAGTGAGGCTGCACACACTGGGCTTAGAGAAATTTGACATTTACTGGGAGGATCAGAGAATCAATGAACAAGACTTGGGTCTGGGGATGGTAAGCAATAATATTACCCCAATTGCATTATAATACTCTTCTGTGTTCAGCATCAAGCGAGTCCAGAGTTGCAGCAGAGTGATGAAGAAAACACTAGATGGATTTCAGTGATACAGGCAGTTGTGTGAAACCAGATGGTTCATGTGTTAGAAATGGGTATGAAAAAGGTAGTGGATCAGAGTGTGGAGGGAGGGACTTAAATATGAATGGAGTTAGGCTACAGCTAAAAAAGGACCAGATTTGGAGAAAAAGAGCATTCATTTGGCTCTAACCAGACTCTGAACACATCCAGTTGATGTTATCAATCAGACTGGGGTTAAAGTTTTGGCCTGGAGTTTGAAGGCTAGATCAAAGGCTTCTAATTAACAAGACAAATAGCAATGATACAAGTTAATACCAAAGATCAAAAATCCAAAACTAGCTTCCCATTTCTTTCAGACAGAAAAGAATAAATATAAAATCTTTACAGTAGTTAAGTATGAAATCACACTGTTACAGTTCATTCATGTGCATATGATCCATGGAGGCAACATAGGAAAAATATTTATGATCAGTTCTGTTTTTCTGCTTTGTGTCAAAAGATAAAAAAATAACACAAAGCAGGTGTTTATTCATGAGCAACCAAAAATACACACTTGAACCTTGCCGTGATCTGTTTATATATTTACAATGCTGGTATGTGCAGCACACAGACATACATATAATTTCAATTAGAAACAGAATACATGAATTTTAATGTTGAAGGGATAATTACTAAACCAACTGCATTATGTAAAAAGACATACCACAAAGGAATTAACATTAGCACAAATGGTAAAGATGGCAAGAATTTAAAAATGACAAGATTCAGTAACAAAAACAGTTATTAACTATACTCAGTACTTCTATTCCACTAACCATGGCTCACAATAATCACTATTGCAGTCTTTTATTATCAAGGAAATTATATTAACAGGCATTTTTATATAGTCCCAGTATAATTACAATGAATATTGACATTGAAGATACTGTAATAAGAGTATCTAAATTGCTTTCAAAATCATCAGGCAGCAAATAAAGATCAAATTTCTGTGAAGGCTTATGGTTGAATGTGTTTTACATTCTACTTTTTGAAAATTGGTCCGCAAAGTATGATATGTTGAACAGAACATTTAAATAAATAAACAGGACAGTCTGTAATTCTCTGAGGAGGTAGAATAACAAAAGCTGACCACACCAGTTTCACTCCTTCCTCAGGAACTAGACAAAGCAACCGAAATAAGAATGAGCACCTCAGTAGTAACTCCTAAGCAGCTGGACTTGTAATTCCACTTAAAGTCCCTTAGACAAACACGAGAACACAACTCTATGCAATTCAATATAATCTGCAAACTCTATGGATGCACTAAAAAAACTTCATTAAAACCAGAATTATAAGGCTTGCTTTGGTACAAAATTGCTTTGAATTCCACACACAGTTTCATCAGAATATGCGTTTTCTAAAAATGAGAAAAACTGTGCATGGATTAAAAAAAATTTTTTTTGCACCAAAATAAACCTATTTTTAAATTCTATTTTTCCTAGGAATTTTTTTAAGAAATCTCAGAAAGTGGGGGAATCTTTAAGTACAAAATTTCAACAGGATTATACTTTAAAACACATTTTAAAACAAACTTCAAATTTACATATTCAGTAATTCTGCACTTTAGGACTAAAATGGAATAAAGTTTTGTCATACAGCAAAATATTTATTCAATAATTATATAGCTAACTCAAATGTCAAAAGTGAATAATGAGATTCAAAGTAAACAATATGTCCATGTCAAAAAATAATCTTGGCACAACTTGGGATAGATATCAGTGAACTGAAGAGAGAAGTAATTAGGAATCTAAAGCTCTGAAATAAACTTTTCAACAACTCTGATACCATGAAGTTTGTTTCCAAGATTAACCAGGAGAGCGGGCTCTGGGTAACACCCTAGCCTCTTTCTTGGAAGCATACGTTTTCAGATAGTGGGGTCTAAGTTCTACAGAAACTCCTAAAGAAGACTGGATCACCCTTCCCTTCACCTGAAACTGGGGATGTTAATTGACTCATAAAATACACACAGTTCAGGAAAAGTCTTCATTTCTGTCCCCCTGATTTTCAAGACACAGAGTGAAAGTCCAGTGTGAGTGGCCAGGATATCTTCAGTTTCTATGTTTCTAGAAGCTTTCTAGAGTCTTCTAGTCTCTGATATCAGAAGATGTGCCTGCATTTGAATAGTTTCAAGCTGTGCTGAAGTTCTGTTTCTAATGGAGATGTTACTGTGCACCTGCCTTTAGATGTGAACAAAGAGTTCTACAGGAGCAATTCTAGTTATTTTCCTCACTGTGGTAAAGCACAAGTGCATTTACTAGAAATCAGATCACCTTTCCAAAACTCACTCATTTAACTCCATTGATCTTTCTACCACTTATCAGAACTTGCCCATGTGAGCAAGCCCCCAGTTCTCTTAACCCAAGACCTTCCGCATACTTACCATCATCTTCACACTCTTCTAGGGGCTTCTGCTGCTTATTCAGGCACCGAGGGTCTAACCAAGATGTCGTTTTTGTGTTATGGCTGCAAATCAGAAGCCAAAAGAAGACAAGTGTTTAAAATCAAAGTTGTGAAAAACCCAATGACAGAGAAGAACTTTAAATTCTAGAATAACTTGCTCCTTAATCAAAATAAAGCTAATTTCCAGCATCAGGCTCCTGATTAGAACCTGAATCTGGAGTAGCACAATGGCTTGGGTAGGGTCTTGGGCAGATTTGTTATGTTAAGACATAATTATCCCTTTACTGAAAGCTGAAAATGAGATACCAGTTTTATTTTTGAAAACGGAATTACAAATGATATCCCTTGCTTATCCTGTCTGCCCTTGCCTACACTTACTCTCTAATCTTCACATTCATCAAAAAGAAAACTTCAATTTATGTTAAATTTGTTTATGAGTTAAATCTTGGGTACTAGAATCCACAAAGAAGGCTGCCACTTCACTCATTACCCTCACATTATGTCAGAATGCTTCTGACAGAGTGAGACTACCTCCATTCACAAAAGCAGCTCAAAATGACTAAACCACATCATTAATCACAGTGTCCTGAATTACGCTTTGGACACACTGACAACAACTCCAAATTGCCTGAAGTAGCACCTCAACTAAGAAAAAGCCTGGACAAACTAAACATGTCCTCCAGCTGCTTTCCAGGAGATACAGCCCAACTCTGCAGGAAGCACTGGAATAGACAGTGACTTGAGCATTGAATAAGAAGGTGTGCAAAAACATCACCAAGGACACTGGCCTTTCCATCACGTGAGAAAGAACACAAGGATGGGATTCAGCCCTGTTAATTCCAGTGCTGATGAAGACACAGAGACATTGCTCCACTGGGGCCTCCAAATAAACACTACACTGCTCAGTGAATGGACAAACTCCAAGGCCATTTGTCCTGGCTCCAAACCAGAAATAAAACTAAGAAAAAAAAAATTAGCTTGACATTTAGGCAGTAACTTTTCTCTCTCTCCCTCCCTATTTTTTAAGCTTAGGCTGTGAATATAGGGTTGGAAGGAGGGGTCAACATGTGTTATTTCAGATTATAATGTTATTTATTAATTGTTGAAAAATAGTGCTGCCTTAAGTGAAAAATACGCCATTAATTGTCTTTCATGGGGAAGAGAAAGACAGAGATAGAGAAAGAGAAGAAAAGAGACATAGAACTCTGCTCTGCTCTCATGCATTGGTTAATTTCACAAATGCCTTTAATGGGAGGGTATAAGCCAGAGTAAGACTGAGAAACTGCAGCCAGTTGCCCCAGGTGGGAGCCAAGGACCCAAGCACTTACGCCTTCACTTGTTGCCTCCCAGGGTACACATCAGCAGGGAACCAGAATCAGGGGCAGAACTGAAATGCAACCCCACTATTCCTCTCTTCAATAAAAGCACTTGTCAAGAACATGAGGAAACAGATCATTCCCTTCATCATGTCAACCAACAGAGGAGCTCTAATTTAGTGTTCTCAGACCTCTTCCTCGGCAGGTTCTCAAGGACTGCTTCAGACTCAAGCCGTTTCCCCTTTTCTCATGTGCGTTGGAAACTTAAAGGTATTTCCAGTGTTTTCCTTTCATTACAAAGCATACACTAAGAATAAAATGAAAATCCTACAGAAATGTATAATGTGATTAAAAATAAACTCCTTTCGAAATACACTGTAAGGTACTTGTAGGATTTTTATGTATGAAGAGCTAGATATGGGAGGACACTACAAGGAAAAAATGGAACTGAAAGAGGTCTCTGCCCCCTTATATCGGAGCGCTGGACTGAGTTCCCAGCTCTGGGCACTTGAAGAGTGAACTAATACATAAGAGGTTACTCTCTATCTACCTCTCTGCCTCTCAAATTAAAAAAAAAATTTAAACCATATATATGTATACATATATACTTATTTGTAAGTATGTACATATAAATAAATGCATATACACATATGCATACACATAAAACAATGAACAGGGAATCCAGACTTGGAGAAAATTCTTCCAAATCACAAATACGACAAAGAAATCATATCCACACAAATATAAAGTATTTCAAAAATCTCCCTGAAAATGCATATTATTAAAAAAATATGCAAAAATTTGTAAGCATATCATTCAATTTCATTCTCCATAAGCTTTTTGAAGTACTCATAGGAAGGAGTCTTAAAATTTGTCAATAAAAAGCTGCAAATTATAAAAAGTATCTATTATTTTTAGTGGCTAAATATAATTTTCAGAAATAGCATGACATATAGGATAATTTACTTGTGTAACATACAGGGAAATGACTCACCTTCTTCTTTTTCAAACTCTTCAGACCCAATAATTAAAATGATATGGCCAATTACCTGTTTTTTTCTTGTAAAGCTTATTAAACATTATAAAAGGAGACTAACAGTGGGGTGACCAATCTCTCCATAGTTGATTTAGAACTCTGGCTGCTAGAGAGAAGTAAGGAAGAGACTCAAGTTGAAATAATGGTATACTTTACTCTATAAAATAGACTTCTCCATTTTCGGTATAGGCCATCTCCCAGTTTTCAGGTAGAGGACCTAAATTATCCTCTGCAGAAAGAGGTAGGTATTGAGGGAACTTCTGAGAAGGGTCCGTGATGGGAGTAGAGATGATGCTACTATTCACAGGTGGTAGTGTTGTTTCTTGGAGTGTGTGCTCGTCTTGGTCACCAGAATCGGCTAATCAGGGAGAAAGAAAGGGAGAAAAAACAAAGTTATTTAGTACTGACATTCCAGATCTGGGAAGTAAACTGCCTGGTTACTCTACAGTCTTAAATGCTCCTACTTGCTGAACATCCACTGACACTTCGGTTTTTAACTAAATCAATGTTGCTCAAATAGACTGCATCAAAATGACTAAGAAGCTGATTAAAAAAAAAAAAAGAACAAAGAGAAAAGTACATCCTAATATGCAGCGTTGACCGTCTTGAATATGTCAAAGAAGAAATCGAGACCCAAACTTGAGAGTCTTGTAAACCAGGAAGGCCACCACGCATGGAATGATGTCTGTTCTCATTCCACAGGTCTGGATTCACTTAAGACCTTTGGGGGTGGGGGGATGCAAGAAAAGAGTTCACACAGATGGAGAGCCATTATTATCTATCTTTCATTTATAAGATTTTCATTTAAATATCTCATTTAAAATGTTTTTCGTAGACATGGGCAAAGATCAAAGATTGACAAATGAAGCTGGAATGTTAAAAGAGTTCAGAATTTGGAGATGGCCTTACCAGTGAGTCACATCTGAGGCCTTTCTGGAAACACTGAAGACATTCTTATGAAAATTCAATATAACCCTTATGACAGCACCATGTGGGTGGTCTGATTTGCCACGAGTCTTTAAAATAAGAAGGCTTTAAATACATGAATCTCCTCTTCTCATTACCCAGAACTTGAAAAGTGATGTCATGAAGACAGCCAGAAACAGCACTATTGTTGATATTCTGGGTGAAATGAAGTTGGATGGAGGACATGTCAAGCTACTCAGCTACCACCTCCACTGCCTGGACATTTTTCCAGCCCTGTATCCATTCTCTCCCAGGCATCCTTTTGGAGATCACTTCTTATATGCCACATGTCTGGGTGGAAACTAACTTGAACTCATTTCTGGCTTCAAGTCATACTCTGGACTAGCTAGGAGTTCTCCATCATGCTTTTGTGGTTGGTTCAGTAACATGTGTGTGATCTAAGACAAACCAACGAATGTCAGGCATGAAAGGTTGTTCTGGAACTGTTGAGCAAGAGGTAGTCTCTTGATGCTGAATGTATTTATCCAATGAGTCCTCATGCTGCAGGCTTGAAAGCCAGATAATTTGCCAAGGCCTACTAGATGGTGAATGAAATCCATAGAGGAAAGTAGAGACGAAAGATGAGGACTCACTGGACATCCTGAAATCAAAGCCACCCTGGCCTCCTCAATTGCCTGATTTGCCCAAACTCATAGCTATGCTTTATTCTGATTTATGAATTGTATTTAACAGTAAAGATTAATAAAATAAGGTTAATGGCCATCTTTTAATGTGAAGTTTAAGAGGCAGGTAACTGTCAGTGTAATAGAAGAGTAAGTTCCCTGCTAAACTTAAATCAAATCCTTTTAATAGATGTCAGAAGAAAACAATAAAGGAAATGAGTAGGCCACCACACAGCAAATCAGAGACAGGCCCAGATAAACAACGAGCTTACAAAATTCATGTTAAAAAAATTTCCTCAAACCTCAACCACAGGTGTGAAATAACAAAATGTTACATCTCCTAGAGGAAGGAGCCTAAGGATTCAACAACTGAACATTTGTCAGCGCGGTAGCCTAGCAGCTAAAGTCCTCACCTAGCACACGCCAGGATCCCATACGGGCACTGGTTCTAATCCTGGCAACCCTGCTTCCCATCCAGCTCCCTACTGGTGGCCTGAGAAAGCAGTCAAGGACAGCCCAAAGCCATGGGACCCTGTACTGTGGGAGACCTGGAGGAGGCTCCGGGCTCCTGGCTTTAGATTGGAATATCTCTGGTCATTGCAGCCACATGGGGAATGAACCATTGGACAGAAGATCTTCCTCTCTGTCTCTCCATCTCTCTGTACATCTTTCTTATAAAAATACGAAAAATCTTAAAAAAAATCTTTCCTGTAGTCTACTGTCACAGTTGAGGTCTCCTATGAATTCGAAGAGGACTTTGGAATATTCCAAGGAGTGAATGGAGAAACAGAAAGCCTGGTTCTCCCATTGCTTAGTAGTGAATAACACTATCTCTCTGTCTTCTATCTGTCGAACAGGGAGGATAATCTTTGGGCTGCTCATCGCTCAGATTGCTTATCTCTGTTTTCCAGAAGGCTCCCTGCACTCTTGTGAAAACTGTGAACATAAATGAAAATGAATGACATCTTCATTTATGTAACTCAGAATGTAACTCACTGTCTAACTCCACCCATTTACCTACCCTCAGACTCCAGCACATACATGTATAAATATATGCACATACTCAAGAAACTACACACACACGTATATTCTCTCAGTGACTTTTGTAGGATCTTCGAATACAGAAAGTCATTTAAGGAAAACATACAGGAAGCATCGTTTGAAGGCCACATGGTTGAGGCAGGTGTTTGGTCCAATGGTTAAGAGAGCCAGATTCTTCACTAGATCAACTGGATGTGACAACTGACTTTACCTCCTAACTCCAGCTTTCTGCCAATGTAGACTCTGGGAGAAAGCAAAGGATGGTTCATGTCAAGGGTATTTGCCATCCATGTGGGAGATCTGGATTGCACTTCTGGCTTCACCTTAGGCCCAACTGGCATTTTTAAGAGTGAACCAGCAATGGAAGTGCTCTCTCTGCCTCCCTCGACTTTTGAAAAAAAATAACGCTTTAAAATTATACATTCTTTTAGATGCATGTGTCTCTCTTATCGAATACAACAATTCAAACTCTTTGGAAATCTATGGCACTAATGAACTTAATTGAAATACAAATAGTAGGGCGTAAACATGCATACAGGTTGTGGAGTCTGACTTTCTAGGTTGGGACAAATAGCTCTAACACTCACTAGCTCTGTCATCTCAGAAAAATGATTTCACTTCCCTGGTTTGTACATAAAGAACTTTGGAAAGTGTCAGTCAATATAGTCGAAACTAGAGAAACACGATGTTACAGTGTTATTTATCGACATTTCCAAAGGAATGTCTTCTCTTCTTGTTTGTTCTTTACATTTTCTGTCAATAAAAAAGAAGTACCTGCCAACGATCTAAAATTCAATGATGGTCTTTGGGAGAAGTAGGCTTCTAGAAACACAAGTAATGTTTTGCTATCTCTTAGAGGTAGTTAATACTTAAGTTAGCTACTTTGTAGATGTACTGGTTTATAACAGCACAGATGTGCTAGCCATAATGAACACAGCACTTTCACAAAAGGTGTTCTTTGCATACTTCATGTTACTTAACCATGTTTCGGGGCTAACATTGAGCATAACACTCATTAAGCACAAACAAGAAGTATTCTCTCCCAAGGGATCCTTTCAGGTCCATGCTTTGGGCATAGTTTGTACAACACAACGCTGTTCCCTTGTTTTCAACAGTCAGTACTGTGGTAGGAAAACTACTCCTAATCAGCCTCAGGCATCACGGCAGAAAGGAAGGGTAGGTAACCTCTTCAGAATGTACCAGGCCACCTGGCATGCTGGCCTTTTGCCTGCTGGAACTTTTATATTATTCCAACAGGTCTCCTTCAAAAAACCCAGGAAAAAGGTAGCAGCGACAGCATCCTATTTAAAATATTCTAGTAGGAGTGAGCATTTAGTGTAGAGGTTAACTCCGAGTGACTGAGTTTCTTGCTCAGCTTTGGCTGCTGCTTTGGCTTCGTACTAATGCAGATTCTCTGTGACACTGGTGGTGGCTCCACTAAGTGGACTCTTACCACCCATGTAGAAGACCTGGATAGAAATTACAGCTTTAGCTTCAGGCCTGGCCCTGTTTTGGCTGCTATAGGTATCTAGGGACTTAACCAGAAGATAGAATATCTCTTAAATATGCAAATCCAAATCCTAAGAAACCAATTCTAGTAATAACATTTTCAATGGCTCAATATTATTTTTCCCATTTGGATAGGATTCTCATGCATTTATCACAGCTGGTCCAAATGGTAGTTAAAACTTGATTATGCTGCTCTCACGGAGCTTACAGTGACTGGTAGATGGCTACTTAAAATGATTTCAGAGTAGAAAATGCTTTGACCAACAGTTTCATACCACAGATTGATAGTAACAGAGTCAGTATGAGTAAGCACACAAGACTATAAAGAGTTACAGATATAGTTTAACAAATGAGGGAGCATTGATTCAACATATTCCCTATAAATGATGAAAGTCTTAGCACACATGTATCTCAAGGTCCCTGCCTTCTCAGAGCCCCCTATTGGTCTGATTAGTGTCACAGCAAAAACTTGAAGACTACAACTGAGTGCCACATGGATCTCCATTTTATGTAGAAATTAATGATGAGACTGATTTTAGGTATGGTGACTTAGGCCCATAGGCTGACCTTGGATACCAGGATTTCCTGTGAGGATTTTGGGGGGCATGGGGATCACTTATAAGGCATGGCTTCTAGACACAGACTGATAGCAACAGCAATAGGAATCAGAATAGTTACATATTGATAGTCCACAAACTCTATTTTCTGCTTTCTGCCCTAAAAATAATTTAAGAAATGAAGAACAAATTATTGCAAAGACACACATGCTTCCCATTGTGCCTGGCAGAAGCTGTTCCCTACATATTACACTCAAGGTTAGTTATCTCTTCTGTGTCTTGGACTATAATATCAAGATTTGTTATTCTTATTGCTAAAATATCCAGTTATTAAAATAATGCTTTTTCATAATCTCTTTTCTTTCAGTGAGAGCTATGATAACTGGATGAGACAATCATGTGGCTAGAATTAGCTGATCTCAACAAAAAATATGTAATAGATAAATTACCTGTTGCACTCTTTATTTAATAAAGCCTTAGCATGACTATATTATAAACATATTTTATGTCACAAAATAGATCCCCAAATCCAAGTATCTTTGAAAAGCAATGTACTAAAATTTTGCCAAAAGAAAATTTTAAAAAGGACAAGTTTCTTCCAGATACTCTAACTACATGTCAGCCACAGAGAAAACAGAAATGTTCATGGAATTTAATCTCAGAGCTAGAAGGGGAAATACAGAAATGATCCAATCCAAGCTAGTGATTTTACAGATGAAAGAAATCAAACAACATATTCATAAAAAGAAAAACCTGTCAAGAGCCAAGTGCATGAAACAATTCTCTTCCTTCTTTATCCAATACTCTTTGCAAAAGGTTGACACACTGCACTTAACATAACGTCATTGCTCCTGAGACCAGCATCTTTCTTGTAAGTCTTTGGGAAACCGTCCTGCCACCCCCGTCCCCATGGGGCACGGAAAACCCTTTACCTGTGAAACTGCTATTCATTTCAGGAACGTCATCCTCCTCCTCATTTTCCGCATGGACTATGCCAGCATTTTGCATATCATTGTAGGACTTGGTGCGTTTCGGGGTCGACTGCTTGGAGCCAGACTGAAGGCTTTGCAAGGCATCCGTCGTGATTACTTTCCCACTGACTGGCTGGCTGGGAGGTTTGGGTGTCCCATAATAGTTTCCTAGGTGATAGGAGAGGCACATTTGCATGTTTCAGAAAGAATACTTGGTATTTTTTTTTCTGCCAAGACTTCACAATCAAATCTCTCAGAACATTAAAAAAATTAATCTAGAAAACCAGAACAAATCTTATTTCATTAATGCGATGGGTCAAAAGAGATATCTTTTTTAGGCAGCCAGATACGGTGGTTTCAGCAAAAGGAAAGCTGTACTGCTTGGTGCAAAGAACCTAGTAGGGGAAAAAACCCAACAACAAAAAACAAAAAAGAAAGGAGGCTGGGCTCAATAGGAAACCTTCATCCTCATTACATTTGAATCTAAATGGGCCGTCTCTTTACATGTATGCACCAGCATAATGCTGAATCTAATTTAGATTGAGCCTCTCAGAAAATAGAAAATTCATTGCTGCTGGCATCCTCACAGGGCTAAAAAGTTGAGGTCACCATCCTTGAATAAAGGCAACTCTTCAAGAGGGAACCAGGGCCATATTTGAAAAGGAGGACGGTGAGCTCCACGTGGCGCCTCTTTAACTGAGTGGCAGGCTTGCCCCTTGGAATTGGGTAGGGTGGAATTCAAAGGCTTGTCACTGGTAACACAAAGCCCTGGATGGGAGGTGGCAGTGGGGCGTGGGTGTGTGGTGGAGCCCTTTACGATCACTCTTTTAGGCACACCCATCATCATTTTTAGCCACACACACCCAAATTTGGTAGAGGTCCTACTATAACATGCTATGTTATTTTGAGTAAACTTTTGTATTTTCTATTAATACATACATGACTCTTACATTTGCAACAGAAAAACCTAAGCAGTAATATATGATATGAAGATAAAAGTCAGCCTTTTAGAAATATGGTAAAATGCAATAAAACCTAAAAAGGTAACTTCAGGAGCCAGCATTGTCTAGGAATGTGGCATAGCAGGTCAGAACCCCAGGGCTGAGCTTCCAGGCACAGCTCACTGTTAATGTGCCCCGGGAGCCAACAGAAAATGACACGCGTGCTTAGGTCTTCTATGCTCTTGGCTTCAAGTTGGCCCAGACAGAGCCATGGAAGCCATTTCAGGAGTAAACCAGTGGATGGCGCTCTCTCTCTCTCTCCCTTTGCTCTCTCTGCTTTCCAAATAAACACCTTAAAAAAAACTGTATAAAAAGCAGCTTTATACAATAAAAATTCACTGAGTAAATAATAGCAAAGGTATAAGCTGATTTATTAATATTGTACATAAAGTTTCTTTAAAGAAAGCATTACGTATATGTTATGCATGTTCCCATATGAACAGAATCATAAAGGTAATTCTTGAATGATCAAATTTAAGCAATACAGTTGATAATCAACAGTCCTCAAGGACTACATAATTATACACATGAGCATTAGAATGCAAATGATTTATTCACTACTTCCTGTCATTTAGAGTAAGGCCAGAAAGATGAGGCTGGGTCTCTCCCATGATGTTGGACCCTAGAATTACCAGTGTTTGTAATTCCAAGCCTAGCAAAGCAGCATTTGCAATTAACAATAAATCCTGCTGATACAGTTTCTTTCCAATTCCACGAATTAACCTCGGTACCATATCACACGTTTAATGTGAAAGTACAATGAAAAGACAGAAAGAGCCTGTAGCATCTCCTTCTTCCATACAGGTAGTAAACAATTTGCTATTTTATCCTTAAGGTTATTTTTTTTTAACAGAAGAGTGTTTGACATTTCCTTGAAACATTTTTTTAAATCATAATCCAATTTATTAATGCACACCTCACTTTCTCTGAGAGTGGTGTATCAGCAGGGAAAATACAAGTTTCAACAACGTAACAGATTCAAGGACACTACCCTTCCAAGAGAGGGGTACCAGCTAGAAACCTGACAAGCACATTCTGGCGCTTTGAATTCAAGTTGGTAAGAGTGAGGGATCCATCACACTGTCAGGAAACTGGTCATTTCTCCAAGAGAAAGCACAGAAATTAACAGAATTCGCTTCAAGAAAGTACCTCCCCCCCCCTTTGCAGTTTTACGTGTAAACATGATCAAAGAAGAATTAGCTCATATACAGGCCAGCACAATGGTTCACTCCATGCCTGCAAGCACTGGGATCCCAGATAGGTGGCAGTTCATGTCCTGGCTGCTCTACTTCCCATCCAGCTCCCTACTTACGAACTGAGAAAGAAGCAGAGGATGGCCCAAAGCCTTGGGACCCTACACCCAAGTTGGAGACCTGGAAGAACCTCCTGGCTCCTGGATCTGGATCAGCTCAGGTTATGGTGACCATTCTGGAAGTGAACCCATGGATGGATCTTTCTCTCTCTGTAAATCTGCTTTTCAAATAAAAAGTTAATAAATCTTAAAATATAAAAAAAGTTCGCTTGTCTATGAGGCTGAGTATGTACTTCCGCTTGCTTTGCTACAGAGGTTAGGTCAAAGCATTTCCCTGTCTTCTTTGAAGTCTAACTAGGACAAGGGTGACTATGTAGGGAAATAAGGAATTAAGATGGTTAAGTATTTAAAAAATCCTCACAGCCAAAAAGTAAATAAAGTTCTAATGAGTTCAATTTTAATTCCTTCCAACTAGTAATATTACAAAACAACATGTGCCATGCACATTTTAGAATTAGATGTTAAATGAAGGTTGATGTCTAGCAATAAATAAGACACTTCCTTTGAAAGATGTGACCACACGATAAGACCCTTTACTCACAACTTCAAACTGCATCACTGTGAAATTGAAGTCCCACTCAAAAAAACAGCTAGTTAAAAAAATGATGAAACTGGTCCTGAAGGCTCAGTGGCTAAATCTTCGCCTTGCATGTGCCAGCAATCCCATATGAGCGCTGGTTTGTGTCCCAGATGTTCCCACTTCCCAATCAGATCCCAGCTTATAGCCTGGGAAAAGAGGATGGCACAAAGTAGGGTCTCCCACTGGGATCCTACACCCATGTGGGAGACCCAGAAGAGGCTCCTGGCTCCTGGCTTTGGATCAGTTCAACTCAGACTGCTTGGGCCACTTGGTGAGTGAACAAGTGGATGGAAGATCTTTTTCTTTGTCTCTCTTTCTTTCTGTAAAACTGCCTTTCCAATAAAAGTCAAAAAATCATAAAAAATATATTTTTTATAATTTCCCAGTAGATATCCATCCTGGTTTTTCAATTTTAAAGTCTTCCATAAGTTAAAACAACAGTTAACAGATTTGTCAGTGCAACTCCACACAGCCCCAATATAATCCACTTACTCAGTGCTGTCTCCTCTTCCTTGGAATTAGTTTAAGATTGATTGGAGGCAGGTAAGTGAATATAATGAGGCTGAACCATATACAACTGTTATTGCAAATGACATAAAGCCGCCACACACCAGCATTTTCATTTGTCTGATCTAGTGTATAGGCATTGGCAATACCGGGAGGCCTCAGCTATCCACACCAGGGATCGCCAAAAAATTCATGGCAGGTAGATGTTTGGTCTATCAAGTCACTTGGGAGTAATTTAATGCCATAACATCAACCTTTATTCTGCCCTTTTTAAAAGAATCTTTTGTCCTCAATCTTAAAGTTAGGATCTCACAAGACATCTGTTCTGAGGACAAAATAAGATGGTCCATGGAATGTTTTTGTCCACACTGAAGTCTGCCACAAGAATGAGGCTGCAGAAGTACTACTAAATGAGTTTCTCATGAGCAGAGGTACCTGGATGGGGATAAGCAAGCTAACCCAGCTCTGCCTCTAACCTAAGAGGTTATTTACCCTCCACCTCCACAACACGCAAGTGTCTTCTACCATGCTTTGATATTTTCCTCCTTACATCCTATTTTTGAATTAGTGACTAACATTGAAAAACAGAGCACACTCTGAGACTCGGCACTACAGCTCACAGATTAAGCTGACACCTAGGATGCAATTATCCCAGGTAGATATCAGTTGAATCTGGCTGCTGCACTTCCAGTCCAGCTCCTTGTCAACGCACGTGGGCTCCTGAATTCCTGTAGTAGACCTGGATGAAGCTCTTGGTTCCTGACTTCAGCTTGATCCAGCCCTGCCTGTTAAGACCATTTGGGGAGTGAACAAGTGGATGGAAGACCTCTCTATCTCTCCTTTCTCTCTGTAACTCTGACATTCAAATAAGTAAGACAGATGATTCCTAACCCAAACGTGGATTCTCAAAGCTGCTTAACAAATCGCAAAGTCTGGCTGTACAGGCTCCAACTCTTACAGGCAAGCTTGATGTAAGCAATGCAGGAGTTTAACAGTGACCCACTTGCATTCACTCAATGACTAAAGGACTAGTGTAGGGAAGTATTTGCTCACCTCTCAGTTCAGCCCCAGTTCTTGCCAGACAAGCCCACTGCAACTGAGTTAAACCCAGTTTTAGTCTTAGGTTTTTGGCCGAAGGGGTCAGGATGCTATGAAATGCCTCTGCTATGAAACAGCAGGTAGCATGGATCACACAAACTCTTCACAGCTTCTACCAGCCTATTCACTCTCATATTCAGCCTGCCTGACCTGGGGTTCCAACTATATCTTCCTGCAAATTCTCCACCCACTCAACAGCTTTCATTCTGACACAATCAAGCAAAGTTTTTACAAGACTAAGTCATGACCCTTACAGAAAGTACACACCAGGCACATGAGACTTGACTATTTGGATCACTTCACAGTGTTAAATTAAAAATTACTTTTAATAAATGCAAATGTCTAGGAAATTAGTTAGTGCTATCACTTGACAGGCTGCACAGTTTTGTGAGCCCTAAGTATTATGTCATAGGGCCTCCATGTTGACCAACACATGGCTGCTGTGGTGGCCTTGCTCCCTTCCAAGATGTTTCTGTCTGCTGCTATTTTCAGAACTGACTCTACAATAAAAGTCACGAGGGCTGGTGGCTAGGGAAGAAAGGGAAGATATAAGAGGAAGGCCCTGTTGGCTTTAATTAATAGGCACAATTGCTGGCCATGACCAGGCCAAAGAAAATACTTTCTGACACACATTTAAAAATTAATGGGGCCTTCAAATCAATTTTTAGAG